ACTCACTGGAGATTCTACCTTCCCCCAGGCCCTCTGGATCTAGGTTCCCTCTTGAAAGCTTGTAAGCCAGTCACTTCTTGCCTTTGTAGCCCCCAACCCCCCATTTTAGGTAGCCAATGTCCAAGTTGCCCATCCCTGTCTACTCTGTGTGTGGAGAGGGTGGGAATGATTCTTGACCACAGACAATTTTTAAGAGTTTCAAGAATCTTTATATTTTTTTTGTTCCATCAAATCTACCTACCCATTGTTGTTGAGTTGCTTCTGGCTCATAGTGACCCTATAGGACAGAGTAGAATTCCCTTCTAAGGTTTCCAAGTCTGTGATCTTTACAGAAGCAGACTGCCACATCTTTCTTCCACAGAATTGCTGGTGGGTTCAAACCACCGACCTTTGGGTTAGCATCCAGGCACTTAGCCACTATGTCTCATGGATCATGCTATAGCTGTTGGTCTCTAATCTGCTTTGCAAATTTCTAATCTTTTCTACTTACCTCTCTGTCTATCAATTCAGACACACAGTCATATTCTTGACAACATAATAGTCAATTGTATTTAATCAGTCATCAGTTGAAGGATATTTTAAATTATCTCTGATTGTAACTATTATAAACCATATGCTACAGTAGATAGAAGGAGTTCTGATAGTGTAGTGGTTACGAATCGGGCTGCAGACCTCAAGGTCAACAGTTCGAAACTGCCAGCTGTTCTGTGGGAGAAAGATGAGGCTTTCTGCTCCCATAAAGATTTACAGACTCGGAAACCCTGTACAGGGTCACTATGAGTCAGAACTGACTCCACGGCACATCACCACCACAGTATATACTAACACATAATTTATAGTGTAGTCCAGGTGTGGCACTGTAAGATAAGCACTGGACTGCTCACCACAAGGTCAGCATTTCCTTGGAAACCCTATACAGGGTCACTTTAAGTTGGAACTGACTTGATGGCACTGAACAATTGCAATGTAGTATATACAGTAGACATGTAATAATTTTTTGTTTCATTTTTTGTCTTTTATGAGAGATTTCTAGAAATGTAAATATTTATTTGATTAAGCCTTGTTTGTTTTAATTATTTGACTTTATAGTCATTTCTGATTTGTAAAGAAACGCATAGTAATATTCACCCTTGGTGAACAAGGCTGTGTACCGTTGGTGCCCCCATTGCCCGGTAGACTTCCAGAAGGGTGCCAGGGGTTGAAGAAACCATAATACCTAAAATATAATCCCAAACAAAAACCCTGGGCATAGGAAACCCAACCTCGGAACATCTTTGAAGAGAGTATGATATAATGAAGGTCATATAGTATAAAAGAAGAAACACTTTCTGATGAAATGGCAAGATCTAGGAAATTCATTGCATATGAAAACTAAAAATCATAGGAGAAGCTGCAAATGGTGAAAGTAAGAGAAGTGAAAATGAGTGAAGAGTGTTCATCCGAAATATTAGTGAGATCAAAGAAAGAAGCAAAAAATGAAGTCCAGTTAACCAAATAGAGAGGGATGAGCTCAGGGAAATGTGGACAGCCAGTAGTGGGTTGTGTATCTCACTTGTTAAGTGTTTTCGACTCAGTTCTGACTTAGCTACCCTGTATAGGGTTTCCAAGGGCCAGCTGGTGAATTTGACTAGGTGGTATTTATCAATCGTCGTGGGGAGCTCGTGACCTTCTGAGCCACCCCAGTAAGGCGTGATGTGTTTCTATGTGCTCTCCTAGGTTAAAAGATGCAGACTCGTATCTGGTGGGTCTCAAACACTGCTGTGATATTGATGTTTCTCTCTGTTCATATAGGTATTAATCTTAAAATAACTCAGCATTTAAAAAATGTAGACAACCGCACAACATTCAGGCATTTTAGCAACGTTTCCATGAGATAGCAATTTGAAGCTCTGGTTCTAGGTAGAAGAAACGCCCTCCAATATCAAGAAAAGTTGTGACTACCTATACCAAAATTTGGTTGTAAGCTTTTTCCCAGTAGATGATCCAACTTTTAAATAAAACAACAGTGACCATCAAGTCAAAACCAGCTCACAGTGATGCCATGAATGAGCGCTCCATGGGGTTCTCAGTGGCTGGTGTTTGAATAGACCACCACGCCTTTCTTCTGCGGAGCTTCTAGGTAGATGTGAAGTTCAAGCCTTTCAGCTAGCAGCTGAGCTCATTAACCATTTGCTCCAGTCGGGGACTCCGGCCTGACTTTAGTCCATTTAGTATTTGCTTCGGTCTGTGTCATTGACATTTTAATACCCTTCTTTTAACATTCTCATAAGTTGGTTGGTAATGAACCCTATAAATTTATTTTGTCTTTCCTTATAGATTATACAAAAGTGGGTTTCAAATTTCTAGAACTTAATATGTTAGCAGCAAGAGCGGAAACAATTCCCTTGTATAACAAATGAGAAAATAAATCCAGGTTTGTTAGGTGACTTACTAAGTTCCTAAAGGCTGGATCCTGAGAGAAAAAGATCTAGTACCCTACTCTTCCCAACTTTAGTCCTGGGTGTTTTCCTAACTAACTTATTATAGTACTTAGGGTTAGTAAATAATGCCACTGAAATGCAAGACAGCTGAACCAATCAAATTTGTTTGTGTTGAAAGACAAGTTTCCATGATGCATTTATACTGTCTTTTTAAAATTGTGGGTGTATGGTGTGCTTTAAAAACAGAAATAAAACTAGGTTTTAGGCACTGTAGTATAAGCACTGGACTGCAAAAATCCTATATACTCTTCAGAAATCGTATATAGGATCACTTTTTAGTAAGCCTTCAAAAATTAAGATTTACTAATGTAGCTAAATACAAAACAGAATTTCAGATTCTCATAGAATTCAGACTTCCTGGAATCTTGGAGAGTGGATGAACCTGCTGAAATTATTGCCCTGAAATAATCTTTTAAAATTTAAACCAGAAATAGCCTCTGAAGTCTTCTTAAAACCAGACAATAGTTTATGTTGACTAATAAAGAATATCCACCTTGAGCATTACTCTGTTTTAACATCTATCTGTGGATCAGATTGAAAGCAGCAACTGGGAGGATATAGGAACCTTAGAAGACAGTGAGTTGATGCTAATGGGGGAGGAGAAACTCAGCAATGGAGGATGAGAATGGTTGCAAAACTCCAAAAATGGCCCAATGTCACAGAGACTGTTGAATGGGTGTATAGTTTGCATATTGTCAACAGCAACAAAAATAAAAATTAAATGTTTATAAAACAATTTAGTTAGTATTTTAGAAGCTAACTGCGAACTAAAATAAAAATTAAAAGGTGTAAACAGTTGAGATAAAGGGAAGTCAAGAAACAGGATCAGGGAATCTTAGCACTCTAGACCTTTTTGTTGGCTCCCACCTGGAGCTGTGGGTTAATGCGCCAGACTTTAAAGTCGGTTGAACTGCATGGTCAGTGGTTCAGGCTCACCAGCTGCTCCTTGGAAATCTATACAGGGTCACTATGGGTCAGAATCAACTTGACAGCACTTAACAATAACAACAACCTTTACTCTGAATGGGCTCATGGGTTTTTACTCATGCTCTCTCTAGCTTACCAATAAATTGATTCCAGGAGTTTGAAAAAGCTGTTTGAGACATGATATGTATTTTTCTGTAGAAACACTGTTCTTTAGGATAGTTGGTTGAGTTCACCTCAAGCCCAGCAGAGTCGGCCTAACTGAAACCATATGGTAATGAAACCACAGAGAACCATAGCATCCATTCTGAGTTATGGCTGGGAAGTGCTGGAGGTGAGCATTGTGGTAGTATTCCCCAGCCTGCCCTACACTGGTATTAAGTCAGCCTGTGACATAGGTTGCCCAGTGGTGCCCGTTGGACTGTGGGCTGTGGACAGTAGGGAAATGATGAATACTAACATGGAAGGGACAGAAAAAAGGTGTTTCTATGGCTGCTTGAATGTTTGCAGGCTTGGTTATACCGAGTATGGAAAAGGTTAAGGATTTAAGTTATTTTCTTTAGAAATGGGGGGGAATCACATGTATAAAGCTGTTTTTATCCCTCCTGTGATTTTTAAGATCTACTAAGAAGCTAAAGGAGCCCTAGTGTGGTGCTGTGGGTTAATGCATTGGACTGCAAAGTTGGTTTGAACCACAAGGTCGGTGGTTCAAGCTCACCAGCCACTCCTTGGAAACCCTATACAGGCCGCTATGGGTTGGTACCTACTTGACGGCTTTTAACAACACCAAGCTAAAAGAAGCCTAGTGACACAGTGGTTCAGCACTGGGCTACTAACTGAAAGTTTAATGGTTTGAACCCACCAGCTACTCCTTAGGAGAGAAAGATGTGGTACTCTACTTCTGTAAAGATGACAGCCTTGAAAATCCTGTGGGGCAGTTCTGGTTTGTTCTATCGGGTCACTAAGAGGCAGATTCGGTGCCACAGCCACATGTTTAGGGAGCTAAGGATGCCATCTAGTATGTGAATTCATCTTACGCTGAAAGTAATAAAAACCTGACCTGGTGTGTTTTTTAACTCTTGTCTACAGATCCCGGCCTGTGATTAACATTCTGAAAACCATGACAGTACTTCCTAACAGAATTGATCTCCGCCAGAAAATGTCTTGCGCGGCACCTAGTGGGATATGGTGAGCATCTCAAGTCTCACACCTCTGCTCTTTGATGCCCTTGTTGCCTGAGGAGCCACAGGGAAGATGAAAAGGGAAGACAGGAGTCTGCCATGTGTAGAACATTTTACTCATCAGTGGGCTGGTGGCATATTTGAGAACTGGGGAAACGTGTGTGGTTTGGTTTTTTTTCTGCTGCACTTATGCATCCTTTAAAATATGTATGTTTGATTTTATACAGCCTCAAGGTTAAGGCCTGTTTTGAATATACTGCCAAACCCACTGGTTATAACCCTTCCATAGGTAAGTACCCAGACCTGTTTGTAAAATATTTTCTGTTAACCAGGTTGAAAGTTCTGCCTAACTGCCAGAAAAGTTAACCTGCAATGTCTAACATGGGTTCATTACAGTTTTTTTTAAAAAAAGAAATTAAGTTTATATATTGCCTCTCCTTGAATCAGGGGCCTGTAGCACAGAGGGGAAACCTCTCTGCTGCTAGTCCCTATTTGAATTTCCCCAGCAGATGGTTGAGGACAGAATGTCTTGGGAACGTACTCATTTGCTCCCACAACCATTTCCTCAATTTCTGTCTTTGAAAGCCAGTGTGGAAAATTGGTTTTGTGGTTGTGAGCTAGTGAGTGGTGGTTGTAGAAGGGTGCCTGTAGGAGACTGAATACAACACAAAGTAAGTGCTCTTCATCCCCAGTTTCCTCCCCAAGAGGCCCCTGTGGCCTGGAACACCCAAGCTGCATCTGTCCTCACAGGAACTAGTATTGCGCGGGTGGGAGCTGTCGGTCAAACTTGGGAGTTTAGAGGCTCGGCCTCTACTGGTGCTTCCAGCTTTGATGCCAGTTGAGCCGACAACACGGAGCAAGTCACTTCACATTGGAGTTTTATTTCCCATCAAAAAAAAAGTTTGTGGTGGGCTCAGATGAGTTGATGTGGCGAAAGCAGCCTGTCATTTACTCTCCTTATAATCGAAGAGGAAGGATTCTTGCCCCAAATGTTGACAATACTAATCATGTTCTGGCGTGGAGCTGTAGGATCAGCCCTGGACTGTGAACCACAAGGTTATAGCAGTTCAAGCCCACTAGCCACTCCTTAGAAACCCTATGCTGGGTGGCTGTGAGTTGGAATAGACTTGATGACAACATAACAGCAACAAAAATCATGTTCTGCTCTGAAGTAGTGGGGTACACATGGTTAGCACGGCTTGGCTACTAACCAAAAGCCTAGTGATTTAAATACACTCAGAAGTGCCTCTGAAGAAAAACCTGGTGGTTTTTTCCAAAAAGATTGAGTCCCTAAGAATCCTGTGGAGCACAGTTCTACTGTGACACGCATGGGTTTGCCGTGAATCAGAGTTGACTTCTTGGTGCTGTTGTTAAGGCAGCATCAAGTTGATACCAACTCATAGTGACCCTACGCATGACTTGACAACTGATTCATTATGCTTTAACAATAATGATCGTAACTGAAGTCTAATATCAACTGGAGACATTGGATTCCTGGTATGTTTTAGTAGCAGCCTTACCTCTCCAGGTCGGAGCCATCTGATCCAGTTCTAAAGTCAAGGCCAGTGTGTGGAATTTAAAGAGGATTTCCCTCATGGGTCGTACTCATGAACCTTGCAGCTCAGTGTCCCTTGTTTTATGCCAGAAGAAGGTTTGTGCAAGGACAGGGTGTTTCTTCTGTTTTACACACCTTGTGGTAATGAGTTCTCCTTGAGCCCCCCACAGTTACCATGATTATTTTTTTTTAATATAGCGCACAAAGGAGACTAATGCATGAGAGGGTTTTGTGGTTCACAAACCCTGTACGATGCACACATTATGTGTGTAAAGTGGGGTGGTGGTTGTTAAGTGCTGTTGAGACAGTTCTGATTCACAGCAACCCTGTATAGGGTTTCCAAAGCTGTAAATCTGTGTAGGAGCAGAAAATCTCATCTTTCTCCCTCAGGGTAGTTGGTAGGCTCAAACCACCAATCTTGTGGCTCACAGTCCAGTGCTTATCCTACAGACCCACGATGCTCCCCCAAAAGTTTGGTAATAGTGTCCAGTTTGCAGTAGGGCTCTGATTCTGAATGAAGTACTCTTACCTATAGGATGGAAATACAGTTAACCCCTGCCTACCTTCTTGTTATCTAAAGGACTGCTTTGTTTTCATTGTAATTTTCATTATTAAAATATGTCCATTTTTAAGTTCCAGAGTTTGGTAAATAAGTCTGCCCTCACCCAATTCACACTTCCAAGTCTTAGAGCTGTCATGTCCAGACTTGAAGCTTTCCAGTCAGGTGGTTTCTTCATCTCCTTGGTCTTTTTGGCCTCCTTTGTTGGGCCCTTACAAGATGCATTGGTGTAAATGTATTTTGGCTTTGTGTGCAGGTGGAGCCATGATTTTTCACTTTGCTCTTTGATGTGGCCAACATAGTCTTTGAGTATGGAAAGAAAATGTAGACCATGATTTCTCAAACCCTTCATTCAGTGCTGTTTGTATTGTTTTTACCCAAATGTACCACCTTCCACTTACCCACTTGGATGACAGGCTTATATCACTACTAGAAAGACAAAGACAAGGAGGAACCGTGATTCTAGAACTAGCCAGCAGAGACGAACTGAACTGGGGAAACGTTTGTCTACTAGTCTGACTGTCGTTTTGTCAGACCACTCTCAGCTTAACTATAGATGTGGAATTTCATCCAGGTGCTCCTTGTTTCTCCCTAAATCAATCATCTATATATGATACATATCTAACTTTCCCCTGTTTTTAAATCTAGCATTTTATGAGCATGTAAACTAATGTCATTTAATTATAGAACTCTTCCATTAACCAGATGTCTACTGATGGCCTATTTTGGGTAGAACTTTCTCTGAAGGTATTCAGCACAAACCCATTTTGATTACCTGTGTTTCCACCATATGGACAAATTCTAAACGAGACAGGGCAGAACTTCCACAAGGTGGCATAAATTAATGTATCTAAAATAGTCCCCTGGGATCTGAGACTCTGAGCTTAGTGTTTGGCCAGGCTGTTTGAAGTCTGCAGTCGTAATCTGTGGGATTTCATACGGATAGATATATAATTGAGTCTTAATGAGTACTCTCCTTGGCTTGCTCCTCTAGCGGTCAGCAAAGGTGGCCAGCAAGGATTTTAAGATGCTGTGAACTGTCTGGAAGGCTAGGAAAAGGCAGAGTGGGATTGGTAGATGAGCGATTTTAATGCACCCACACCCTCCCCGACTTTTGCTGGGGGGTGGGAAACTCAGCATGTGAGCCCTCATCTGACCCCTTGTGAAGTTAGCAGGTCACTGATAAATGAGTGATGTCAAGACTGCAGAGGGCCGAAAATGGGGAGCATTCTACTTTGTGACATTTAAGAATTCTTTAGCTGGACTCAGAAATTACTGTGAACCTGTCAGCATTTCTGAATTTTGGTCTGACATATCTGAATGGCTATTGTTTCAAGCATAGTAATAGTGTATGTGTGTATTTCTGTGTGTGTGTTTGTGTGTGTTTATAGGCAACCAGTTAGCCCCACCTCCATTTCCCTTCATCCGTCCGTCCCTGTGTATCATACATATCTGTAGTTCCTGTAAGACTGACGTGCTCCTGGCCTTGGCTCTGCGTCATTGCTGTTGCTGCTAAGTGCTGTGGAGTCGGCTCCAACTCGCTGAGATCCTGTACAGGGTTTCCGAGGAGCAGCTGGTGAATTTGAACAGCCGACTTTACGGACCAGTGCATTATCCCACAGCGCCACACCAGGCTCCCTTAGGAGATAAAAAAAAAGGAAAATAGGAAAAAGAAAACATTCACATCAGTATCACAAAGTTTTCAGTGACTGATTTCCCATGAGTAGACCACCAGGCCTTTTTTTCAAGACACCCTTGGATTGACGCAAACTGCTAATCTTTTGTTGAGCAGCCAGGCATGTCAGCTAGCTTTGGCATTTCCCAGGGGCTGCCAACTAGGGACTGTTGTTAAGTGGACACCCACTCAGTAGAGGGCTAGGTTATTGTTGTTGTTAAGTGGGTTTTATGGGTGCCACACCAGGACTCCATCCACCAAGGTTACCCTCAGCTCAGTAGGAGACATACAGAGTTCTCTCCGAGTCCTGGTGTGGCACTGTAGGATCACACTGGACTGCTGAAGTTGGCGGTTCAAACCTGCCAGCCGCTCCTTGAAAACCCTCTAGGCTCACTAGGAGCCCAGAGGAGGGTTCAGGGAAGGCTTCCCGGATGGGGTGATGAGCACAGAGGCCAGGCAGCAGCTGAAGGAAGGAGTAGTTCTGCAGACGCATGAGAAACCACATCTGGGAGCCTTTATAAATAACCACCTTTCACTTGCATTCCAGGCTTGGAAGCTGCGTGGTCTGGAATTAGTTACCTACCTTTCTAGGTTGCCTCTATTTTGTTCATCTGCAAAAAGAGAGAATTAAAATAAATACTCTAAATAGTCTCTTCTGACTGTAATGCGAATATTAGAAAGTAGGTGGTTCACTTTATGTGCTTTCTGTAGCAGCTTTCTTTACTCAAGGTTGATTTCTCTGGTCCTTTGCACAGGTCGGCTTGCTTTCCCCTCTGACAGTTAGTGAGGGCTTAATGAATCTAAGTAACTAAAGTAGTGGCCCATGAAACACATAGTTAGCAGCTACATCCAGTGAACTGACAAAGAATGCATTCTGAAGTCAAGAAATGAGATTCTGATCATCCAGAATACTGGCTTGCCTCCACGCTGCATTAGTGTAGGCAATCGAGAGCAGGCTGTCACAAGGGGCTGGGAGCTTGGGCAATGGAGCTTTGTCACTCAGCAAGCAATAAATTCTAGCCACTAAAGAATAGATTTTCCTTTTTAAATTCTTTATTTTCAAAAAGTGAAAGAACTCATCATGCTGTCAAAAGATTATCCATTTCTGTTGCCATTGTGTTGATCCCGGCTCATGGTGACCCCAAGACACGGAGTAGAACTGCTTTGTCAGGTTTTTAAAAAAAAAATACCTGTCTGTATATCATGAGACCTTTCAAGGTGCCTGTGGGTGGGTCTGAACCACCAACCTTTTGGTTAGTCATTGGAATATTCTTATCTATGCTTTTCAAACTTTAGGATGTCTAAGAGTCTCCTTTGTTGTTTTTATTAAATGCCCTCTGGAGTCCACTCATAGCAACCTTGTATAGGGTTTCCTAGGAGCAGCAGGTTACCTTCTGTTTCAAACAGACATTGCAGTCCAGCACATCAACCCACAGCACCACATCTGAACTCCAAGAGTCTCCTAATGGTCCCTTTAAATGTAGATTCTGTGTGTTCCTGCAGAGCCATACTCTAGGGAGATGCTGAAGTTGCCATTCTATAGGCCCTCTTTGAATAACAAGGCACAGGGGGCCCCATGGTGTGACGATGTTGTGGGATAGGCATTGAACTGCTAATCACAAGGTTAGCACTTCTAACCTGCAAGCCACTCCCTGGGAGAAAGCTGAGGCTGTCTGCTCCCGTAAAGAGTTAACAACATATATAGGGTCGCTATGAGTTGGAATCTACTCCATGGCAGTGGGTATGAAGTAAGTTAGTTCAGGCCCTTAGGGAGAGTTGGATCCCTCTAGGTGAATTAAGTATATTGTGTGTGTCTCTGAATTCAGCCAAGAACTGAGACACTAAGTAGACACTGTTGAGAGGTTTTGACTTATTCTCGAGCTCCCCCATGTGGCCTCTGTGAAAAGTTACCTTTGCACAATTTTTCACAGCAATGGGAGAGAGGAAGGACAGCTCTCCTATAAACACCACAAATGGTTGAAATGCATACTAGCAGGACTTATGAAGGTAAACATTGGCAATGGGGAAGTATTCTTCTAGAAGAAATGAAGGAAATACCTTTAAAAGCAACTCAGACTTAATAGCTGAATCGTGCATGGATGCCCTGGAAGTTGACATGGTTTTGTTAATTTTATCTAGTCATTGTGGGCACACTCGAAGCTGAAAAGGAAAGAAGGAAATCTGGGCTATCGTCAAGAGTTCACTTTCAAAACCAAGTGTCTGAGCCCAAGCACACTCGGATACTCACTCTGAACGGGCAGAAGCAGAAAGCCTGTATGGAGGAAACCCTCTGGCTGCAGGTGAGGGCTGCCGGGCGGTCAGTCTGTGCTTTAAAGGAGACAGAGGCTGGGTTTTAGGTTTTATAACATCTATGTTTCTTAGAGTTTTACTCTATGTACCCATTTTTTCATTACAAATTACAGCATCATTTTGGATTCCCTCAATAGTGTTGTTGTTGTTGTGTGCCGTGGAGTCAGTTCTGACTCATAGTGACCCTTATATATAGGGTTTCCGAGGCTGTAAACCTTTATGGGAGCAGAAAGCCTCCCTTTCTCCCGCGGAACAGCTGGTAGTTTCAAACTGCTGACCCTGAGGTTAGCAACCCAATTCGTAACTGCTACACTACCAGTATTCTTTAGTATATGACTTTCTATGTACTGTACTTAACTATATCACTGCATCCTTTTCAGGAAAATATCAGAGATAAACTTCGCCCCATTCCCATAACTGCTTCAGTAGAGATCCAAGAGTCTGGCTCTCGTCGGCGAGTGAATTCACTTCCGGAAGTTCTTCCAATTTTAAATTCAAACGAACCCAAGACAGTCCATTCAGATGTAAGTCTTCCTGACTTTTTTGGGGTCATATTATATTAAATCATATATCTTTGAATGCACTGGAACTAGTAACTTGCTTTAAAGGCCTTTGTTTTATACAAAGTAAGGTTTTGAATATATACTGTTTGAGGAGATTTGTTTTCCAAATTAGCAACGAAAACAGACACATGCAATATATAACTTAGAGCCAGAGAGTTGGTTTTTTGCTTTTATTTTGTTTTGTTTTTCGTATTTTTTGGCCATTTCTGAGACTATGTAATTGACAAAGTTTATTATTCTTATATCAAGCTTTCCTGGAAATGCATGCAGAAAGAAAGATACAATATATTTTACCATTGAAAATATTAAGATGTAAAGACAAAACTATTTGTTGTTAGTCTGAACAAGGAATCGGAATTAAAGAATATCAAAATCTAGGAACACAAAAGACTATTAGCAATGAGTCAGTCAGTGAGTGCCTTTTATAGGCTAAGTAATCCTAGAAAAATTTGTTACCCGGCTTACTGGACACCTCATATGAGGTGGAATATATTTACAAGGGCTGCAGGGCCCCTTGTGCAGTGGGTTAAGCATTGGTCAGTGGTTGGAACCCACCAGCTGTTCCGAGGGAGAAGGATGAAGCTGTCTGCATCCATAAAGATGTGCAGTCTCAGCAACCCGCTGGGACAGCGCCTTTGTTCTATAGGGTAGCTGTGGATTAGCGTTCACTAGGCAGACTGGTTTGGGTTAGGCAGGAGCAATGGTATCTTTTAACATTTTCCCACATTTTCGTTGGTTGCTGTTGAGAATGTACACAGCAACATATACACCAGTTCAGTATGACTTGAAGGGATTTTGTGGCTTGTGGTGTGAAGATTGTCTCGGGGCAGTAGTTTCGGGGATTCACCCACTCCCGTGGCTTCAAGGAGCTGTGGCATGTTGATTTGGCACATGTGCCAACCTGTCGGGGCTGGAGAGTCTGCTCTGGGGCCCTCAGTCCTGGTGAATGACTAATGTAGCCGCTTAGAAGTCCTTGCTGCATTAGGCGCAGGAGCTGATGTCTGTCTAGTACAGCTGCAGTCTGTTGCAGTTTATTGCCACCAAGTATAGTCCCTCCGTGTTGAATGTCATTTCTTGTTATGTTGCTATCATGTACATTGCCAGCTTCATAGCCATGTTAAACATAATCAGACCGTTTTCCTAAGTATTGGTCCATGTGGTTATTGAGCAATTAACATTGGGCTGAATGGTGGTGGTGGTGGCCACGTGCCGTGGGGTCAGTTCTGACTCATAGCAACCCTGTATGGGGTTTCTGAGGCTGTAAATCTTTATGGAAGCGGAAAGCCTCATCCTTCTCCAACATTGGACTAAATGAATACGCCATCATTTGCTTTCTGACCTGAAGCTCTGTTTTCTTCATCGTACAATCGGGACTGATAGTAGTATATTCCTCATAGATTTGTTGTGAGAATTAAATGAGTTAAATATGTGATAATGGTATCTAGCATCATCATCATTATTCATAATTCGTACAATTACCCTATAAAGTAGCATGACGGTATCTCCAGGTTACCTGGTAAAACATAGACTCTGAAAGGTTAAATTACTTGTTCAAGGCCATGCAATTCTCAGTAAGGGGTAGAGCTGAGTTTGGAGCGTAGATCCGGGTGGCTGCAGGGCTCATTCCTACCCTGCCCTTGCCAAAGCATTCTTAAACCAATTTTCTTAAAAGGCAGAGTGGGGATTCGATGCATGGCAAGGTATGTTTCAAACCTGATTCTCACGGATTGACCTTGTGATGTAGGGAAATGAAATAATCAGTCACCTATTTAGATAGATGCCTTTCTGAGTCTTTAATAGTGTTAAACATGCTAATATTGTTTTCCTGCAGGTACACTTCTTAAAAGAGGGATGTGGAAACGACAACATATGTAATAGCAACCTTAAACTGGAGTATAAGTTCTGTACCCGAGAAGGAAATCAAGACAAATTTTCTTATTTACCAATGTAAGAATCCCTCTGTAGCAATTGCAAAATGACTCAGACTTTCCAATGGTTCGCTGTTAAGAAATGGTTATTGAAAATGTATTGAGGACTTTGGTGATTTCTTTTTTTTTGTTTGTTTTTTTTATAGTCATAAAGGTATACCAGAGCTAGTTCTAAAAGATCAGAAGGATATTGCTTTAGAAATTACTGTGACAAACGGCCCTTCCGATCCAAGGAACCCCACCAATGATGGTGACGATGCCCATGAAGCTAAACTCGTCGCCACATTTCCAGACACGCTGACTTACTCTGCTTTCAGAGAGCTGAGGTCTTTCCCTGTAAGTGGTTTTAGGCACCAGCTATGCTTGGGGGCAGGGGCAATCCGCACACTGTATGGCAAATCTGTGAACAAGTTCATTTTTCTCTTATAGGAGAAACAGCTGAGTTGTGTTGCCAACCAAAATGGCTCGCAAGCGGACTGTGAGCTTGGAAATCCTTTTAAAAGAAATTCCAACGTAGGTGATGCATTCACATACTTTTCCTTTTACTTGTTTTAGCACTGTTACAATTCACAATGCTGATCTACGTGGCCTGTGCTAATGGCTATTTATATTTTTTAGGTGACTTTTTATTTGATTTTAAGTACAACAGAAGTCACCTTTGACACCACAGATCTGGATATTAATCTGAAGTTGGAAACGTAAGAGCTCCTTCACTCTTTCATTCACTATTATTTCATGAAATTGTAGGCAGGCAATGAATTGGCCCTGACCTAGCTCATAAAAGTGTAATTGTAATAAGAAAAGTGACTGTTAAAATAAAACCCTATTGTCTCCTTTTCATTTCAGAACAAGCAATCAAGATAATTTGGCTTCAATTACAGCTAAAGCAAAAGTGGTTATTGAGCTGCTTTTATCGGTGTCCGGGTAAGTGTTTGTGTTTAGCCTAACAAATCAATGTTTGAAAGAACCATTTACAATCCTCACTAAAACCAGTGTTTTTTAATTTAACAGAGTTGCTAAACCTTCCCAGGTGTATTTTGGAGGTGCTGTTATGGGTGAGCAAGCTATGAAATCTGAAGACGAAGTGGGAAGTTTAATAGAGTATGAGTTCAGGGTAGGTTGGAGCTGAGTTCCGTTGGTCCTTTTATTATTCCCAAACCTACCATACTATATATATGATCTTGAATATGCGATTTTTATAACTAAGCATTTGTTTATAGTGCTTAGTTTAAAATGAGTTTGCTGAGGGAGGAATAATTCCAAAAGGGAGGGGCAGAATGGTTGCAGAATTCAAAGAATACAATCAATGTCACTGAATTGTGCATGTAAAAGCAGTTGAATTGGTTTATGTTGTGCTGTGTTTATACTCAACATAAGTCTTTGTACAGAATCCAATTTAATTTGTTTTTTTTATTTTTATTTTTTGTTTTTTTCTTTAAGCTAGAATTTTAATATATATGATTGGACTTCAGAAAGTTTATGGAAACATTCTGTTATTTTTAATCCCATTTTTCTACGTGCTTTTTGAGGGCCCCTTGTATGTGGTATAGAAACAAAGTATAATATTTGATTTTTCTGTCCAAAACCCATAAACCAAAGAAGAGCCTTGTTGTTGTTGTTAAGTGCCGTCGAGCGGGTTCCCACTCATAGCAACCCTGTATAGTGTTTCCAAGTAGCTGGTGGGTTTGAATCTCCAACCCTGTGGTTAGAAGTCCAGTGCTTACTCTACAGCACCACACCAGGACTCCGATTATGGAAAGCTGTTGTTGTTAAGTACTGTCGAGTCTGTTCTAACTCATAGCAACTCTGTATAGGGTTCCTGAAGAGCAACTTGTAAGTTTGAATCACCAGTCTTGCAGCCAAGTGCTTATCCCATGGCACCTCACCAGGACTCCCCCCCCCCCCCTTTTTTTTTTTTCTCCTTTTGGAATAGTCGGTGTGAATTTGGTATATGCCAATAAAACCAATTGCTGTCAAATTATTTTCAACTTAAGGTATTCTCACATGTGTCAGAATAGAAAGAACTGTGTGCCCTAGGGTTTTCATTGGCTGATTGTTTCGGAGTAGATTGCTGATTCTTTCTTCCCAAGTTCTCTGGGTGGACTCCAGCCTTTGTGTTAGTAGATGAGCTTGTTAAACTGTTAGCACCACCCAGGGACTCCATAGGCCAATATAGAAGATTAATCATTGGCTCTGCACCAGTTCAAAGTAGACATTCAGTATCTGCACAGCTAAATGAGCATAAAAACCGGGTGCAGCGCTCACTCAGGACTCAGGCGCGAGTTTTGCTGAAATCACCTCACCCTCCTGAAAGCATAATGACCATAGAGTAGAAGTCTGAGATGGCCACAGTGGGCCTGCCCCTGACTCTCGCTGGATGAAGAAGCTGAGTTCTGCTCTGGTTCTGTGTTTAGTTAGCTAGTGCTGCAGTTCAGTAGTTCTGTTAAGTCATAAACATCGCTACTTAAAATTCTGTTCGGTATAGCCATCCACTGTTGATAACAGAAATGTATTTTCTCATGGAAGGTCCTTATCTCCTCCCCACACCTGTGGAGCTGGTGTTTTTGGCATCAGTCTCCTCTGGGTCCCAGAAATCTCAGGGCAGAGACCCTGGTTCTAGTCCCAGCTCTTCTTTTGGGGGGTGGGGGTGGCATTGTAGATCGTCAAGTCCCTCCTGTCTGTCCGTTTTTATCTCCTGTAAAAGGTGATGCAGGCCACTGCCCAGGGAGCTCCCCTGCATAGGTAGCATCCTGGCTGTGAGCTAAGTAAGGGTGTTGCAGCCCACCCTAGTCTCCTTATAGCTGATTGGCTGATGATATTAGATGACATCGCGGGAGTGATTGCATCATTACATGCATGACTGCCAAACTCCTGGAAATCATGGCTGAGTCCAGTCGATGCATGTTTTGGGGGACACAGTTCAATCTGGGTTAGCTTCTTGGCACTAAAGCCAGCTTTGAGAGGTAGTAGTGTCGGTTCTGACCTCTCTGCAGGTGTGGCTGGAAAGAAGTCTGTGGGTTCCAGAGGGGATCTCCTCACAGACAAAGGAGGAAGCAGCCTCTTTGGTCATTGTGAATCAGAATTGACTCACTGGCCGTGGGTTTGGTTTTTTAAGTATTTATAATCCACATACCATATAATCACCCATTTAAAATGCAATTCAGTGTTTTTTAGTATATTCACAGAGCTATACAACAACCATCAATACAATCTAACTTTAAACATTTTCATCACCCCTAAAAGAAACTCATATTTATTAGCAGTCATTCCCAATTCTCTACGCCCTCTTCCCAGTCCTTGTTCTTGTGTACCGTCTAATTAATTCTTACTCACGATGACCCTGTATAGGGTTTCTGAGGAGCAGCTAGTGGGCTTGAACTGCCGACCTTGTAGTTCACAGTCCAGTGCTGATTCCCAGCCCTAAGCAACCACTACTCTATGTCTCTTTGACCTTTTTCTAAAAGTGGAAATTTGTTGACAAGAATCTTTAAGTGCAAATATCGATTTTGCGTACCCTTTAATACTCCACTGTTGGAGAATGTGCTTTTATTGGCTTTTTTCTTTTGGTTTTCAGAGCTGATAAATTAATTAATCTAGCATTATAAGAACCACACTGAGCTGATATGTATTATTTTCTAACAGGTAATTAATTTAGGCAAGCCTCTTAAGAACCTCGGCATGGCAACCTTGAATATTCAGTGGCCTAAAGAAATTCACAATGGCAAATGGTTGCTTTATTTGGTGAAAGTGGAATCCAAAGGGTTGGAAATGGTAACCTGTGACCCTCCGAGTGAAATCAACCTCCTGAACTTAAAGGTATGTTGATAGATGTCTTTAATGTCTCCGTCATCATAAACAAGAGAAGATAACTTTTTTTTTTTAATGTTGTGAATTATGTGATAGTTTACATGGGAGAACATTAGCTTTATGTTCTTCCTATCGTATATCATTTCATTGCCATGGTTACAATCCCCTCCATGCATCATCAACCAACCAAAGGGTATACTCTACAAGCCTGCCCCCTGGTTGTCAGCACACAGCCCCTCTCCCTCTCTGTGTCTAAAGTCCCTAGCCACTCCATCTCTCCACGTCATCGTCTCTGCCTCCATCTCAGGCATTACTGAAAAAGATAACTTTTCATGGGAAAATCATCACTTTCCTTAGGAACCTTACCTACCGGCATTTTCTTTAGTGTTGCAATTTTTAGCATATAGTTGAGTATCCAAGTCCATGAGGAGTTATTGCCGATTAGTGATCATCCTGGCACATAAGGCAGAAGAATCCTTCAGTACGTGTCGGTGCCAGTGATATTTTCTAAACCTTTAGGATCAGCAGTTACCCAACATGGTAATATACTCATAGCAGGGGGGAATGGGACAAGGCCTGGTTAGGGGTGAGCAGGGGGTGAGGGAGGATAGGTGTGAGCCACCAGTTTTAATTTCTAGTTGGTGTCTAATTGCACCAGCCAAAACTGTGTTGCATTTGTCGGCCGTGAAAATAAGCATTAGAACCAAACATGTTGCAGAGAGTCTTGGTACCTTAGCAAATGGCCTTCAAAGCTTTTCATTGTTACTTGTTTTGTTTTTTTTTAATAATATTTACCCTGTAGTCATAAAGTCTTAGGCACTGTGCTAAGCATTTCATGTGTACTTTCTCATTTCATTCTAATAGTCCTGTGACACAAGCACTTTTAGTATCCTGACCATTTTCACAGATGAAGAAAGGTAGAGTCAGAGAGATTGTAACCTGCCCTAAGTCACTCTGTTCTAAAGAGGCAGATTCAGCCTTCCAGCTCAGCTCTGCCTTCCGTTTTGTACACCCCGCTCCCTCTGTACTGCTTCACATGGTGGGACTGATTTCTTGTTCCCACTCCAGTCTGATGAAAGTTAGCTTTGTCGCTGCTTGTCTGTTTTAAATTCTAAAGCGACTGAGTCTGATCAGTGTTCACAGTGGGGTCTGGCAGATCCTCCTCTAATCATCAGCTTCCAAAACACACGGTGGCCCATTATTCCCAGTGGTTATTAAAAGGAAAAAAATGCAGTTTGAAAACTAGTTCTATGGCTGAGTTTTCAGTACTCTACTTTGAAGGACTCATACTGTGGTTCTTTTTGTCTCTTTCTTTCCCTCTTCGTCAATGTTGTGTATTCATTCAAGATGTGCTGATTCTACCATCCATTAAGTACGGTGCGGTGCTAGGGTGTGTACGGTACAAACAAGATCTGATCCCTGACCTAAAGATGCTCCTAATTGGGTAGGAAGATGGGAACAGAGAGAGCAGTCTTTTCTCTTTACCTGAGTGTTAAGGTCAGGGTGGAATGAATTGTCTTAACCAACTTGGCATTGAGGTTGGTAATAGCACATTCAGTTTACACTGAACTTATTTCTGTGCCTTTGAACTTAGCATTGGTTGGGATGGTGTGCTTATGGAGCTATGCACAGTGGTAACAAAGAAATAAAGTTGGAACTGTTTTGGATATGATTCTTCTCAGGAGTCTCACAACTCAAGGAAGAAACGGGAAATTGCTGAAAAACAGATAGATGATAGAAAATTTTCTTTATTTGCTGAAAGGAAGTATCAGACTCTTGTAAGTATTTTCAAACGCTGTGAAGATTTGACAAAGGCTGGGGGAGGGGGTCTTCCCCCAGGATATTGTGTTGTAACTACCGATCTCCCCTTTCCTTCTAGAACTGTAGTGTGAACGTGAGATGTGTGAACATCAGGTGTCCACTGCGAGGGCTGGACAGCAAGGCTTCCATTATCTTGCGCTCGAGGTTATGGAACGGCACGTTTCTGGAGGTGTGCCTCTGCTCTGTCCCCAGAAGTCATTTGCCACCTGTTAGGACATTCCTCATGTCTCTAGTAGGTTCACTAACTTTGTCTCCAAACAGGAATATTCCAAATTGAACTACTTGGACATTCTTGTGCGGGCTTCCATTGATGTGACTGCTGCTTCGGAGAATATCAAGCTGCCAAACGCAGGCACTCAGGTGAGGAAGGTCCCCCAAGCCCTCAAGCAGGCACAGAGAAAATCACTCTTTCCTCTACTCCACACCCACGGCCTGAAGCCAGGCTTCTTCTCCCTCATGATACTGTTACCTCCACCTAGGAGAAGACAGATAATGTCTTAAGGTTCAGCTTTTCAGCAGAACTTCCAGACTAAGATGGACTAGCCATTGAAAACCCAGTGGGTCTCAACAGTCCAATCCCATAGTGCAATGTGGTTGCTAAGAGTCTGGAAGCTGACAACAGTAACTAACAGAAAAAGCAAACCAAGAGGTGTTTTCAGAAAACCGTTGAAAAAAATTAAATAAGTCTAGGGTCATGTAGTTCATTGGGGCATATGGTAGTCTTGAGAGCTATTGACTCAATGAAAGAATGTATACACTTCTCAACCCTGCAGAAAAGAAACCCCAGGTCTTACAGGGTCTCTCCTGATAACAGCCATTACTGGATTTCTGGAATGATGGTAGCTTCATTGTATCATGGGTGGGTAGCCCATGTCATGTTTAATCAGATGCAGTTATTGGAAAAAATCTCTTTATATATAAATCCAAAGTTGAACCTTGTAAAATAAATCCCTGGCGATGACCCCTAGGATGAGTCCCAAACAAGTTCTTAAAGTACCCTTTCAAATAATTGAAGGAGACTATGAAGCCCCCTTACGGAGCTCTGATAGTGTAGTGGTTACCAATTGGGCTGTGAACTGGAAGGTTAGCAGTTCGAAACTACCAGCTGTTCCGTGGGAGAAAGTTGAGGCTTTCTGCTCCCATAAAGATTTACAGCCTTGGAAACCCTGTATAGGGTGGCTATGAATTGGAACCGACTCCACGGCACAAGAACAACAACGAAGCCCCCTTGGATAGGTCTGTATTAATTCTCTTCAGAGCCAAGCACCCCAGTTCGTCAGTTATTTATCCTGTGAGGCACAATCAGACTGGCTCCAGACCTCTCTTCATCCAGGGCCGTTGTTGGTCACTGTCCTAGTTCAGATGTCATTCTCAGTAGCTAAGCTGTGGTCTGCCCAGCTCAGCTTACCCTGGGATCATTACCTTTCAGGCTCAGTACCACACTTCCATCAGCCCAGCTGAAATTTGATTTTTAAATGTTTTCTGAAGATTGTCTTTGCATTTCTTAGCATCTGCTATTACTGTATTTGTATTGTAAAGAAACTTCCAAATGTTTTTCATTGGAATTTGTGGTCAGATTATGTTTCCCATATCCTGTCCTTGAGCAAGTTTTATAAAATCATACTCTGAAATGTGTTCACATTTTATGTGATTTGCTTTTGGTCCATTGTTTCCATTTGCAGAGTCATTTTGAATCTTGATTATTTGCTTTCTCAACTTTTCTGTCACTGTAAGTTTTTTGTTTTTTTGTTTCATCCGTGTCAGGCCTTTATTTCTCTCTCTCTCTCTTTTTTTTTTTTTTTTTCCTAATGTTTTATTGTGAATTATGTGATAGTTTACATGGGAGAACATTGGTTTTACATTCATTCTATCGTATATCTTCTCATTGCCATGGTTACAATCCCCTCCATGCAATCGTTCCCTGTGCTCCCCAGGTCTTCAGCACACAGTTGCTCTCCCTCTCTGGATCTAAAGTCTCCAGCTGCTCCATCGCTCCACATCATCATCTCTGGCTCCATTTCAGGCATCACTGCTTCTCTGGGTAGGGTCCCGCTCTCTGTTCTTCTCCCTTGATGGTCCTAGGGACCACCGCTCCTAGACTGAAAAGTTAATCACTCCCCTCCTTGCTATAAAACGTCTACCTTTACATTTCCGACCCTCACAATCAGTCCTGATAACAATTATTCACTATTGTATCACAAGAGACCCATCTGCATTTCATTGCATCAGCCCCGCCTAGACAGATTGAATACTACTCACTGGAGATTCTACCTTCCTCCAGGCCCTCTGGATCTAGGGTCCCTCTTGAAAGCTTGTAAGCCAGTCACTTCATGCCTTTGTAGCCCCCAACCGCCCATTTTGGGTAGCCAATGTCCAAGTTGCCCATCCCTGTCTACTCTGTGTGTGGAGGGGGTGGGAATGATTCTTGCTGAAAGGACTTGTTCCCTCTTTTGAGCTACTGCTTCCATAGGTGTAGGTCAAGTTCATCAAATTATATGAGAATACTTTCTTTTTTTTTCCTCTTCTTTTTACTTCTGGTTGAGCTCTGATCATCCAGTCATTGAAGCCAGGACAAGTGGGTATTATCTGTAAGTGTGGGTGTTCTTATGCATATTCCCTCTCTTCTTATCAGCTGGATGCTTCACTCTCCACTCTAGTCCTCTGTGGCTATGTCACTGACTCTGGGCCCAAGAGTTCCCAGGTCTTGCCACACTACTGGCCAACCAGGTCTTCACCCAGGTTCACAGAAGTCTATTGAACGTTGTAGGGCTTAGCTCACCACTTCATTGCTGTTTTTCCCTCACTTCCCCTTATCAGTGTTGAGCGTGGTCACCAATCACAGCATGTATTCCCATTGAATATTAGTCTTGGAAGGGGGTTTGCACTGAGCGGACCCGACCACTTGCCTTGATGCTTCCTGGGAAAGTCTGTTGCTTGTTCTTGTAGTAACAGTCGGTCTGCTGTCACTGTAAGTTTTATCTAAGTGTTGAAACATGCCTTCTCCATCTTCATGTAAGAAATTAACGGAAGGAACAGGACTAGAAAGATAACTGTGGTGAACCACCAGTGAGAGATTCCTTGTGGGGATCTGAACTTCCAGGACCATGTGTCAGAAGTTCCAGGTAGACTAACTTCATGTCACAGGAGACATCGTGGATGGGGGATGCTGGGCAAGGAAACTGAGTGAAGGAAGAATACTGGTGATGTAGTGCCCTTACTGATCTACCAATGGAAGTTTTTTGGCTTCAATCCGTTAGCCAGCTGAAATCCAGGGAACTTCCCTGATCTAATTATCTGATTGAATCTACTTGATCACCCTGATTTCTGAAATACCGTGGTCTTCAAGGAGTCCAGGTGGCATGCTTGGCTGAACACTGGACAGCTAACTAACCACAAGGTCAGCAGTTCAAGCCCATCAGCAGCTCTGTGGGTGAAAGATGAGATTTTCTTCTCCCATAACCCAGAAACCCTACACAGGGTCAGTATGAGTTAGAATCAGCTGGCTCGTAGTGGTTTCGTTTTTGGTTTTTAGGTGTCCTTAAAATTTATCATCCAAACAAGAATCTGTGACCACTGCTAGCCATGACACGATTCTGACACAAGTGATGAAAGCCAGAACTGTCTCAGGCTTACCGAGGCATATGGTCTATCGCCAGCCTGCATTCCTGTGTCTCCATCAGTGAGACATCATTGGAGCTGTCAACTAAACCACATTCCCTGAGAATCCTTTCAGTGCATCTGTGGCTGAAAGCAGCTGCTGTAACTTCTCTAACTTTGAGTCAGCAACTCTGAGAATCGCTGAGATTTTAGAGCTGCAAAGAGAACTGACATATTCAAGGGAAGGATCTAACCCTAACAAACATTCATAAATATCTCTCACTTACTAGACACTTCATCTATACTCACAGAATGCAGGTAGTGCAGTGGGTTAAGGCTGGGACTGCTAACCTGACGGTTGCTGATCCAAACCCACGGGCCACTCCATGAGAGAAAGATGAGTCTCTCTGCTCCCATAAAGATTGCCAGTCTCCAAAGCCCTAAGGACCATGTCTGCTCTCCTGTAAGGCTGCTATGAGTCAGAATCAACTTGATGGCAGTGGGTTTACCTGTGCTCTATCATTTAAAAGTCAGAAGGTTACCAAGGTGTAGACACTGTGGTTATTGTACAAAAAGGGAAAGCAGGCTCATGGAGGATGGCCTGGGCTTCTGGATTGAAACCCAGGACTGAGTGCAGGGCTCTTGTGATTTCACTCTGCAACCCTTGGTCCTCAGTAAGCCCGCAAATCTCAAAGTCAGACCAAGAAATGGAGTTCAAGAAAAGGTTTGCTCCCCTACAAGATCACATGACCAGCAAGGTCACACAACCAGATCTCAGTCTCATGTCTCCTAGTTAAATGCTTTCTTCTTTTGAGAGATGATGTCCAACCTTGTGTCTGGGTCATAGATGGAAATGAGGTTCTCCTGGTCGTGCCATATTCTTAGGACTTGGAGCACCCATGCCTAATGGGAATTGAAGTCTGTGCTGTGGTCCTCTATTTGTTAATAATTGGTAGATTTAATGGATGACTGCTTTCTTATTTCTAGAATCCATTTCTTTGGAAAATGGAGAGACTGGCTTATCTAGTCTTCTACCTCCTGTTTTGAGCAACATTAACGATGTCATATCTCTGAGTGAGTTTCTTTAGTATTTTGGGGTGAAGCTTTCCTAGACCCACGGATTCTAGTGTAATTGAAGTGTCATGATGCCTTCAGTTGCCTCTTACCTTGGTTCACTTATCCTTTCTCATCTCAAGGTTATGTTCTTTGGAGATAGAAGCAAAAGAGGGTGGCTAATTCAATCTTGTCATTTGGTCTTATTATCACAACTTCTTCCCCTTGCTTTTACTTTAATCCTGGCTTTTGGGGGTGGGGAGGGGGAGAAGAAATCTTTGCTTCCTTAAAACCGAAACAGTTTCAAAAAGACTTTTGTTCACTTTGTGATAAAGCGCCTTTAAATCACTATCACAGTGTCAGAGAGAGCAGAAATCACATAATCTATCCAGGTATATGAAACCCATCAAATTAATGAAGACCTGTGTAGCTATGTGGGTTAATGCGCCAGACTGCAAAGCCGTTTGAACTGCAAGGTCAGTGGTTCAAGCTCACCAGCTGCTCCTCAAAAACTATATACAGGGTCGCTATGGGTTGGAATTGACTCGATGGCACTTAACAACATCAACAAATTAAAGATAAGTGGTGTGCTTCCCTGTGCCTAGACGCTAGAGAAGCAGAATTTGATTCAATGGCAATTCGTAAGAATCTCAAGGTCTCGGAGATAGAATGCCAAGTGAGAATTGAGCCAAGGAAGGAGATTACTTAGTGGTTATTTTTATATACCCCCACTTGATTACTAAAGAAATTGGAAGAGAATACCTGATCACCAAACCTAAACAGGGAAACATGATAGATCAAAATAAGCACATCATTTTTTAGTGGAATGAGATTTTCTCTCCTTTTTTGGTTTTACATTCAAAGAACTTGAGATCTGGATCCTTTTGTAAGATGGATTCTTCTTCTTTACGTAAGGAGCACTCACTAAGAGTGGATTGAATAGTTTTGTGAAAGATATGAAAATCTCTTTGTAGGGTGATTCTTATCCTGATATTCAATAGAAGTGGAGGGTGTTACATTACAGAGTAATTTCAGGGAAGCACTTGGCAGTTGGCAAGCTGATGTGTTAAGCACTGCTCAGAGGTGGTTTCATTTAATGCACCAGCAGAGCTAAGGTTCTTTCTCACAGGACTATAATGGGTAAGGTTCCCATGCCCCGTCATCCCTATGGAAATGCCAACGTGGTGATGAAAAACATTTTTCTTCAATTGTAGGGTGAACACTGGATCAGTAGTTTGAACCCACCAGCCTCTCCCCATGGGAGAAGGATAAGGCAAAGATTTAAAGCCTTGGAAACCCTAAACAGGGTCACCTATGAGTGGCATTCAACAACAACAACATTCTTTTAAGAAGGAGCCCTTAGTGCAAACAGTTAAGCACTTGGCTGCCAGCAGAAAGGCTGGTAGCTCAAACTCACCGTAGTAGTTCTGCTGCAGTAAAATTAGTACCTAGAAAACCCTACGGGGAGGTTCTTCAATGTCACATGGGGTCCCTGAGTTGAAAATGACTTAATGACACCCAACCACAACACACCCAACCACAACACACTTAAAAAGGGAGTTCCTAGGTGGTGCCAGCCCCTTAACCAAAGATTGGAAATTCCGGTTCAGTCAGAGGTACCTTGGGAGAAAGACTTTAAACATCTACTTTTGAAAAATCGGCCACTGTAAAAACCTTATGGAACATAGTTCTACCGCAGCATACAGGGGACACTGTGAGTCTGAGCTAACTCCATGGCAACTGATTTATTCTTACAAATGAGGCTGTTCCTTCCAAGTAGTCACCTTGCTCCAAGCACACAATGTGCTCTTCCTGTGCTAGGCACTAAGGAAACAGATGACTGAGATGCCAAAAACTAAACCAAGTACCCTACCACCCAGTCGAGTCTGATTCATAATGACCCTGTAAAGGGTTTCCAAGACTAAATCGTTATGGGAACAGACAGGTTCATCTTTCTCCCATAGAAGAACGGTCCGTGTGAACTACGGACTTTGCAGTTCCCAATACAATGCTCATCCCACTGTGCCACCAAGGTTTCAGAATGAGCATAGGCTAATTGAAATAATTTTTGTCTGTTTAACTATTTTTGAATTAATTGTTTAAAAGACTTAAATGCAGTTGACTTTAAAGTAGATGGTGATGGTGGTGGTGGGCTGTGGAATTGGTTCAGACTCAGTGGCCCTGTATAGGGTTTCCAAGGCTATAAATCTTTACAGGAGCAGAAAACCTCATCTTTCCCCCACAGATTCAAACTGCTGACCCTGTGGTCATCAGCCCGGCTCATAATCTACTATGTTATCAGAAAATATTCATATGGTTTTATTAGACTGGGATAATTAATGAGTAAGCAATGTGGGTCAACAACTATGTACCTTAATAAAGTATGATTCAATTATTGGTTTAATTATCTCATTAAATATAACCTTAGACTGGTGGTGTTATGTGCCATTGCGTCGGTTCCAACTCATAGCCACCCTGTATAAGCTTTCCAAGGAGCAGCCAGTGGGTTTGAACTGCCACCCTAGCAGTTCAAACCAACCTTACAGTCCAATGCATTACCCTATAGTGCCACACCAGGGTTCCCTTGTATTGTTGTTGTTGTCAGGTGCCATTGAGTCGTAGCCACCCCATGCACAGCAAAACGAAACAATGTCCAATCCTGGGCCAACCTCACTACCGCCGCCACACTTGATGCCTTATATTAGCTATAATTAAATTCCTAGTGATACTATTTCCCACATAATATGAATAATAGGATCAGATCTACTTGTATCATACTTGCATTCCCACAGGCATAGATTCAAGTGAATTTAGGTTATTGATTTATTGATAGTTTTACTTTTTTACTCAATTCATTGATAAATTTGAAAACTAGAATTTTCATTGAGATCTTTTAGAAGATATTGTTCATAAGATTACTTGTGATTACAATATAAGAATATTATTATCCAACTTTTATAAGTTTTTATTAGTATAACTATTAGGTTTGTTTTCACCATTTTCTTTTTTCTTCTCCTTCACCCAAGTTAATATGTATCTACTGGAGTCCTGGTGTGGCGCTGTAGGTTAATGTGCCAGATTGCAAAGCCATTTGAACTGCAAGGTCGGTGGCTCAAACTCACCAGCAGCTCCTAGGAAATCCTATGCAGGGTTGCTATGGGTCGGAACCGACTCGATGGCACTTAACAACAACTCTCTAGTTACTAACTTTACCCACTTTTGCCCTCCCACCCTAGTAACTTTCAAACAGTATTTTTTGTTTAGTATGAAAACGTTTTCTTGGCTTTTATAATAGTTATCTTGTACAATATTTGACCTTTGTAAATGAGTCATTTCACTCAATATAATGTCCTCCAGGTTCATCCATGTTATGAGGTGATTTGCAGATTCATTGTTATACTTTAGTGTTGTATAGTATCCCATTATGTGTATGGACCATAGTTTGTTTATCTGTTTTTTCATTCATGGGCATGTGAGTGGCTTTTATCTTTTTTGCTCTTGTGAACAGTGCTATGATGAACAAGGCATGCATATATTGATTCTTGTCAAGGCTCTTATTTCTCTTTTTTTTAAAGAATAGTTAAGTTGCATAAGATAATCCACTATATTATTTATTCACCATCTCACCATTTCTCCTTTCTGCCTTCCTTGATGGATTTTTCAGTGCTGGAAACATTCATGTGAAGGGAGGGTTGTTGTGGCTTAGAGCTGGGTCACCTGTCAGGGAGGGGAAATGAGCCCTGAGGGAAACCGTGCTTAGAGACTATCAGGAGATATGCTGAGTGATCAGAGTGTGTGTTCTGCCTGCCTGCCTGCCATAGTCAGTATTGTGGCTAAATCTCTACACATGAATTCTTGCCTATTAAATGTTGAAAGAAAAGCAATTCCCTTTTTTCTTAAGGATTTTCTGTAGGTCAAATGAGGTTGACAACTATTTTATAGTAGAAACAGAAAGGGAAATAAGTACTTTAATGGGGTATTTAAAAAAAAAAAATGACTCGTAATATGGTATGGCACTGTAGGATAAGCAGTTCAAACCCACTAGCCACTCCTCAGAAATCCTGTACAGGGTCACTTTGAGTTGGAACCAACTCGACAGCACTTAACAGTATGTATAGTCAAGAAGTATGGAAGCACAGCATAGGGTCAAAGCACCCCAAGTTGAAAACTTGCTTGACAACACTCCTCAGAAGCAAAATGCTCCCTCTTTGGGTTGCATTTATCCTTTATCCTCTTAATTTAGAAATCCCAGAAATGTCAAACTGGGAGAGCTCTGTAAACGGTGTGGTTTCCAGAATCACATTGCAATCTCCAGGTCTCTTGTGTTCATCTCAGAAGTCCACTTGAATCCTCCTAAATCTTGAGAACCTGTTGTTGTCAGGTGCCATCGAGTCGGAACCGACTCATAGCAACCCCTTGCACACCAGAACGAAACAATGTCCGATCCTGGGCCAACCTCACTACTGCTGCCACACTCGAGACCAAAAATAATGCCACTTGGCCAATCCATATCGTTGGGGGTCTTCCTCTTTTTCTCTGACCCTCCACCTTACCCAGCATGACATCCTTCTCCAGCGACTGTTCCCTCCAGACAATATGTCCAAAGTATGAGAGACAAATCTTAGCCATCTTGGCCTCCAAGGAGCACTCTGGCTGCACTTCTTCCAAAACAGATCTATTGGTTCTTTTGGAAGTCTATGGTACTTTCAGTGTTCTCCTCCAACACAACTCAAAGGCATCAATTCTTCTATGATCTTCCTTATTCACTGTCCAGCTTTTGCATCCATATGAGGTTATTGAAAATACCATGGCCTGGGTCAGGTGCACCTTAGTCCTCAAGCTGATATCTCTGCTCTTCAATGCTTTAAAAATTCCTGTGCAGCAGATTTGCCCAATGCAATACCTAGCTGCTGTGAATTGCCACAAGAAGGTTTTTTTTTTACCATTTACCAGGTTCTTAGTTTGATGTCCTGAGAAGAAGTCATATAGCTCTCCACTTCTATTTTCATATTTCACAACGTCTTTGAAATCCAAATGAGGAGTGTAGGCTAATGACACATATGCAGGCCCTTTTTATTTCCACTGCTCAAAATCAGTACAAAGAAAATGTTATCTTTCTCAAAAAGATACCAGATTTTGTAGATTAATCTGGATTGATTATTAATAGCTGAAACTGGATGATGAATACATGGTGGTTTATCATATAGTTCTGTCATCTTTTGTTGATAACAAATTTAAAAAAAAAAAAAAAAAGATACCAAGTTAGCAAAGAAGCTGCTGCTATGTATGAACACCATCCAGCATTTTCCAGGTTCTGGGAAACGATCCCCAAAGAATACCTCTTGAGAGGCAGTATTCTGTTGAGGGAAAGAATCTTGCATCAAAAAGCCATCTCATCCACCCCTATGCTGCATTGCCCAAAATGTGTTTAGAATCAGAATTAGAACCCTATTTGCCTGCTGGTGGTGAGCTTTTTCCCTAGTTTATGATACAGGTTTTTATCTTTTATGCCCCACAGGTTCGTGTGACTGTCTTTCCCTCCAAGACGGTAGCTCAGTATTCAGGAGTACCATGGTGGATCATCCTAGTGGCTGTTCTTGCTGGGATTTTGATGCTTGCTCTGTTAGTGTTTATACTATGGAAGGTAAGTCATAGCTGGCATTTTTTGAGTTTTATGATAAAATTTTATTTCATATGTTTAAATTTTTTTAAATTTCATGTCTTTCAAAATGACACTGGTAATGTTTTTCTTCTTCATTACTTCCTTTTATCCTCCAATATTTCATCATGAAACCTTGATACAACATAAAGAAAATTTGAAGAACTCTCTAAATGAACACCTATGTACCTACCTACCTACCTATAGTAGTTTATTTTTAAAGGTGTGCATTGTTTGTATATGATTAGAAGTTTCTTGAATGTATAGATTTTGGTGTCCTTTGTATATAGTTTAATATGGCAAATTTTATTTTAACAGTTTCTTCAGCTAAGATCAGTAAGTCCCATTCTTGGATATCAAATCCATCTGCATTAATTAACCTGTCTGATTTCAATTTTGGTAAAGAAAATTATATTAAGTTAGTACTATTACTGTAGTAATCGGGAGATGAAATGGATTCAACAACAACAAAATAAGCAATAACAGTTGCCATTAGATTATAGGAGTAAACAGCATACGAATGAATTAATCACTCCCCTGTAGGGTCATCATAGCCTATATCAAGGGTAAGGAAGGTTTTTATCTCAAAATGATGTTTTTCATTAGAATTTGGGGACTATGAATAAAATGAAATAGCTTCCATTTGCTTCCTCCCAGTTAATAGACTATGTTACAGAAATTGTGCATGAGATCAGTCTTTGGTTGCCACAAATCATGACCTGTAGATTGTGGATTATTTCCAGTGAGTAATGGAAGTCTGCAGTGATGTGTTTGGCAACACACCCTGCCATAATAGGAAGAGGGGCTATTCAGAGTCTTTATCCTTTATTCACTAGTTTCACTACAGAAATACTGACAGTTTGCTTACAGTGACATTGTATATGCCCCTTGTTATTTTTCTAAAAAGCAGAAATTTCCGAGTTCCAGAACACGCTTGATGAAGGCAGAGAGATGCAGGCAACTATGGACCTCAATCACCAATCTTCTAGGATCGAACTCTTCTAGATAAGAGCTTAGGATACTTACTTGAAAATACTGGGCAGCTCTTTTTCACTTCAGCCAACTTACCTCTGGTGTTTGGATCAGGCAGTAGGTGTCTCTGGCAGATACAGTCCGTGAACATAGAGATGTCATGAAAATTATTTTCATATCAAACACTGTATCTGGGGTTTGATATTTGTGGAAGACCGTATCTCCTTTGTGGCAGAGGCCACGAGGATAGCCTTCTCTAGAGCAGTTCTTATTGTCAGACTTTAATGAAGGTGGAAACTTGACAATGGTTTTAAATTTAAGAAAACAAGCTGTGTGATTTTAGAAAAACTCCCCACTGCCCTGGGACACTGGTTTGCCTCAGCTGTTTAATGCGTGTCTGTGAGTGGATGATCTCGATGACTCTTAAAGGGTCTAAAATATCCTGGTGTGGCACTGCAGGATAAGCACTAGACTGCTAGCCACAAGATTGCCAGTTCAAACCCACCAGCTGCTCCTTGGAAACCCTATACAGGGTTGCTGTGAGTTGAAACCGACTCGACGGCACTTAACAACAATAAACAAAGATCCAGACTCCTAGGCAGACTATAATCCATGAACTGCTGCAACCTCCACATAGAAAAGATGTTTTTATTACTTTATAGTCATTATTTTTATCTTAAATGGAACTATTTGGTTTTATATATTGAAGTTGTAGAATATTAGGATTAGTAAGGATTTGGTCTTTTTATTGGGTTTAGTATATCCACATACGTGCCAAAGTTGAGTTAGTCTGATGGACTTGGGGCCTCTCTCTCCACTTCAATCATAGCATGCTTTGAATATTGGGCATCTACATAGGAATTTGGAGTTCTGGTGTGGCGCTGTAGGATAAGGACTTGACCACAAGGTCGATTTGAACCGCAAGTTCAGCAGTTCAAGCCCACTAGCCACTGTTCAGAAACCCTAAACAGGATCACTATGGGTTGGAACTGTCTTGGTGGCACTTAACAACAACCAGAAAAACATAGGATTTTGTTTGGAAGGAAAGGAGAACAGTTTTCTAAGTTGGTCTGATCACCTTCATTGCAGACTAAAACGAGCTCTCAAGGATATTACAAATGTTGTCAAAGTAGACAAGTCTTGGTTTCTGGCCCATATCTCCTTCGTCCCTTTTTCTAGCTGTGTTACTGAAAGTTGACTGGGGATATTCAGTGTCTGGTAAAATAACAGTTGTCAGTAGATACCAGGAGAGGCAGTCTAGATCCATACTACCCAGACGCGTGTTCTGTACTTATCAAACTGTTCTGGATCGGCAATGTCCAGTAAGGTAACCGTTAGTCACTTGTGGCTACTAAGCAATAGCACCACTGAGGTGTGAAATTTTACATTTTATTTCATTTAATAGGAATTTTAATAGTCACATGGCCAGTGGCTACCATGTGGTACAATGCAAATGTAGGTTTTGACCTTTATGTAGTGGCTAGCCTAGGAAACAGAATTTTGCAGGACAGCGATTTATTCAACCAAGTTATGTTTCAAAGAGCAGTTCCATGACCTTATGAACTAGATAAAAGTAAATAGAAAAAGTTCTCCACGACTGAATGAAGGAAATTATGGTGGAAAATGGAATTATACTTTTATACTCATTTAGAGTGACCTAGCCTAAGGAACTTAGGTCTCCACCACTTAAGGGTTTCATGGTGGTTGAGAATTTGGGAAAATGACAGCAATCATTCTTTCATGATGGTACATTCGAATTTATATTGTGATTCAGCTCACCAGCCCAAAGGTCTCAAGTAGAAGGCATTTGTTCCATAAAATTTACTCTGAAAGACAGAAAAAGACCCGCAGCGTATGTACATTTGATTTGTATTTGTGCAAAGCCTTAGAGAATTTTTTTTTTTTTTTAACCTTTGTCTTAATAAGCTGCAGAAGTCAATCTTGCCTACTGTAGAGCCCATAATCTTCCTGCAAGGAGAAACTAGTCCAAGCTACAATCACGTGTGTACATTTTCTACTTTCAAGATAGCTTTTGTCCTCTGTTCCAAATAGGAAAATCAATTAGCTGACTAATGTTGCACATATAAATCTTTGGCCAGAGTTGGATTGACTGCTGTCAGATTATAGAATGTATTGTAGTGCAGGGGCCATTTGCTTAAGGGGTTAACCTATAGTGATCTCTTTTGTAAACAAGCTGTTGAAAGACTATGGGTAAAAATCTGAGATTTTCTTTTGTTTAGCTCTACTACACAAAACTGTGAAATTGACTCAATACCTTGCTTCCTTGTAGTGTGGTTTCTTCAGGAGAAATAAGAAAGATCATTATGATGCCACATATCACAAGGCTGAGATCCATGCTCAGCCATCTGATAAAGAGAGGCTTACTTCTGATGCATAGTATTGATCTCCTTCTGTAATTGGTAATTGATTGATGTTTTTTAATTGCTAGCTGTGGGACCTGCTATGGTTGTGGTGGCTAACTTTAAGAGCAACAGCTTGCTATGTGTGTCCCATTAACAGATGTTTCCAAATGTCCACACTGGCTTGTCTTCGTTAGGTGTATTTATTATACTTGAAAGCTCATAGTTTGTTTTTCTTTAAATGCACAAAGAATCTTTTGTTTCAGGTGACTTGCTTTGTGTTATTGTTGTTACGCATTACCCATGACACACAAATGGAGGCTTTAGACCTCCAGAGTAGCCCAGTTTGCCACATGGTGTTAAATCTAGTTATGTAGCATCCCACTTGGAATTTCAAAGATGCATAAGAAGTCATTCCAGATTTCTTGTCCATTTTGGAATTTCCCACAAACCTAAGCTTGTCTTGACTGCCTGATTAACCTGTTGCATGTTGGAAACATTGCGTTTCTCTTGATGGCCAGGCTTCTTTCACTGCCCTCCTTTTGATCTTCTTGTCCTTGCTACAAAATGATGGGGGAAGGCTGGAATGCTTTAATTGTTGCTCAGAAACTACCTTATGCTAGCTAAGCATGCACCTTCCTTTTCTTGCATATCTACTGCAGGTCAAAGACCATTACAACAAATTATGCCTGTTAGCATGTTGGAGATTATGGCCAACTTCAGAAGATGGTCCTCTTTCCTAAGTAGCCTTCAGTGTACAAAATTCTAGTACAAAAAGTGCTCTGGACAGCTTTCATTTCAATGTGTTGTGATGGAGTTTGACCTTGTGTCAAGATCCTAGACATATTATTCAACCTTGGGTCTCAGTTGATTTTAAATTCATGTCTTGCTCCCATGGAAACAGGAACTGGTGAGGATTCCTTTTTCTATTTCATTAAAAGATAAAATTGCTTCTACAGTCACTTTCCATGGCACTGTTAGGATGAATCCTAACAATGCCATTGCAGTTTTACAAATCCCCCTTTGTTTAAATGGACATCAGTCACATTTTATAATCAATTGGTACTTTGGCTCTTCTGCACAGAAAAATAGAAGTCAGTGTCGAAGTAGTCCCAGCACAGAATTTCTTGGTCCATTTTACCTCTTGATTGAGTGATAACATATATGCATAATTTTGTTTTGCCCCATGGCATTTTAATAACATAACATCATTTAATATAAACTTTCTATTTCTGTTGACGTGTCATATCTTATTAATAATAAGTCAACCATTCTAAGTATTTTTATCGCTCAGCTTCCTCTTAATTGCATTTCTAAATTGAAAACAGTTTTTAAAATATCATGTATTTATTTTATTCATTTAAAAATATTTGCTTTGATTAAAAACTGTTCAGCTATATTATTGATTAAAAAATAAAGATTAAAAAAATCAGATTGAATGGGTCAAGTTAACTGCCTTTTATTCAATTTATCAGATTGAACTTTTTAAATGAAAAAAAAAATATGCAATTGTATCTTCATCTGAACTTTAGTGCAGTGACACTCGCCTTAAGTCCTATGTGATACAAGATTGGCTTTATGGCTGGACAGTTATCACATGATTTATTACGTGATAATAAATCACATGAATAAAACAGTTTAAATCAGAAGCATAGCAGGAAATCCATGCCAAATCCCTACCTTTTAGCTTAGCTAATGAAAGATGTAATACGGTTCCTAGAGCTTGAGGGGAGGAGATTCTTAAATTGATCCATTAAATTGAACATGGAGTCCTGGTATGGCTCTATAGGATAAGCAAGGTTGGTTTGAACCACAGTGTCGGCGATTCAAACTCACCAGCCACTCCTTGAAAACCCTATATAGAGTTGCTATAGAACCTACTCAATGGCACTTAACAACAACAGCGTATTTACATGTAAAATATTTGTGACCTGATTTCCATTTTATCAGTGGAGAGGGGCATAATATAATCTTTTGTTTATAGCCTTTAAGAAAAATATGTTTCTAAAATTAAAATGATAATCTTGTTGTTAAGTACCATCAAATCAATTCCAACTCATAGTGCTAGGAAGCTGAAAAGTAGTTATTTTACATATAATATTGTGATTATATTTTTTTAAAAAAAGAAGTCAGTGTTTAAGAAACTCTTAAATCATGAGTAAAAAGGTAGCTTACATTGTTATAAAATGTAAAGACAAAATAAAAAGGGACTTTTTTCCATTTCTACGGCTTTTCTTCTCTTCCATTTATCCCTGTTGGCTGTTAAATGTTTTATTTGCACACCAATTAGTTGTTTCTTGAAAGAAAACCATTTCTTTTCTTAGTCCAAAGATGGGCATAGCGGAACAGACAGCTTAGACATTCCCATTTAGGACGCCAGCTTTTTCTGAAATGAATTTGATTTGTTTGTGTTTCTTTTTTTCCCTTCTCCAGTGTGGATTCTTTAAACGCTCTAGGTACGAAGATAGCCTTCCCCAATACCATGCTGTAAGGATCCGGAAAGAAGAGCGAGAGATCAAAGATGAAAAATATATTAACGATCACCTTGAAAAAAAGCAGTGGGTCACAAAGTGGAATGAAAATGAAAGCTACTCCTAGGGGAGCCAAAGAAAAGCCCCACAGAACCCAAGCCAGGTTTTCCCCCATTCCAACACAGAAATTCCAGTGGATTTTAAGGCCCTTCAGTACCTGAATATTGACTTCAGATTGCCTACACTCAGTACGAACCAACAGTTTTAACTGTGGATATTGTTACGTACCCTAAGGCTCTTGTTTTGCACAGCCAAATTTAAGACTGTCGGAATGGATTTTTTCTTTCACTGCCTTAATTTAACTCTCTGGGCTGCTTTCGAGTTGCTGTGGCTGACTTGGGTTGTGGACAGGCCTGCTGGGTTGTCCTCTTCATAGTGTAGCTGGAGGAAGACATCCACGGTCACTGGCCAGACCTCAGCCCTGCCTCTGCCAACAGTTCTTTCCTTAGGACAAGAGAACCTGCGAGTTAACTGGCCCACATTGCAAGACTCTTTTGCTAGGGGAGCCGTGTTTCAATTTCAAGTGCCGTCTTAAATTAAATGTGCAATAGAAGGTGATGTTGCTATCCTACATCTTTTCCGTTTCCTAGCTGTGTGAGCGTCTGCTCACACCACATGCTCCCAGGCTGCATTTTCTCGCCACTAAAACACACAGGCGCAACAGATTTGAATGCTAGTTATACTTGTTTGTATATATTTTAGCCCTGGTATTTATTTTTTTATTTTTACAAAACATTTTGTGATTGACAGGCCAAAGATTCTCTAGTTGACCCTGCAGCTTGGTGTAAGCAAACAAAATTAGAACACGGGTGGTCATTGGTTTGACCTAAGTTATTTCCTGCAAAAAGAAAATACTCACGCTTTATAAATGTACTAGAGAATTGTTTAATAACTTAAACTTAGTCATAAATCTTAACATCTCCCTCTATGACAGCCCCCATCCCCTTCCTCCAAACCCCAAAAATTTTGTTTAAGGAATAGAATTTATAACTGTAAGATATTTCATTCTTATCCAGAGTTGATTATTTTGGAGTTTGAATCCTTATGGATTTCTGAGTTCCATGATGTAACTTTCAGGAACTCTTGGAGAGAATGGGGTTTGTTCATTGAACCTTCTACAGGGCAGTTTGCTCACAGTTCACTGCCACACACAATGAGGAGCTTCAAAAAGTTTGTGGACAAATTCATTATCTTTCAATTCCATTTGTCCACAAACTTTTTGAAGCCCCTTATACTGTATATTCAGGACTTGAAAGAAAAGGTGAGTGCCTATGGTGGGTACAACCTGATCCCACGTGAGATTACTGAATAGCTAATACCTACCAAAACAGTGACTGTAGGCAGATTGAAAAATAACAAAACTTCATGGTTTTTTACATTTTTAAAATGTTGCTTTAGAACCATTTAATCTGTGAGTCAGTGTTTTGTTTTTGTTTTTTGATCTTTACCTATCATACATTTCCAAATTGGCTTTTGTTGTTGTTAAGTGCCATCGAGTTGATGCTAACTCACAGTGACCCTTTATAGGGTTTCTGAGAACATCTGGTGGATTTGAATTGTCGACCTTGTGGTTAGCAGCCCAGTGCTGATCCTCCAGCACCACACTAGGGCCTTTGGGACTGTTTTAATGAGATACTGGTTTTTCCATTGTGAAAACAAGAAAGACAGTTATTATTGTAGCTCTTCCATTGAATTTGATCCTTAGCCTAACACTCTCCCAGCTGCAAAACTTCAGCAAGCACTACCTTCAATTGAATTTGAAGAGACATGAAACAGATTTTTTTTTTTTTTTCTTTCTAACCGTGCTTTGAAATGTTAAGTTCTATGAGGAGAAGCAGTAAACAGGTGCTAATTTGTTTAGATCATAGTGAAAGCAATGGCTCAATCTTTTAAAAGAACAAAATAAAGCTGTTGTGTTAGAGGTTAAGCTGCTTTTTCTTTTCAGAACTCTCAACACCCTCAAGATACTAAGAACATGATTCTGGTTGTACTTTGGAGTCTTCATGTACAAAAATAATTATACACATGATAACTTTGTTTACAAAATTTTCTCTAAAACAGGGTCAGAACAGTATTTAAAATCTCAGTTTCTTGCTTAGGTAGGTTGAAGTCTAATGCACTGGCTTTATGTATGTCTAAGAAGCTGATATTTTGACAATGTTTATAGACCCTTGTTGTAAGAAATTAATGTCCTGAGATGCAGAGAGGGCTGTGTGTTTCAACAACAAAGAAGCAAGGATATTGTGGCGTTGGAATTTAGAGTTGTTAAAAATGTCATCTCAAGTCAAGTCACTGGTCTGTTTGCATTTGATACATTTTTATACTAACTAGCCTTGTAAAATTATGTCATGATTAGAGCATACCTGTGGATATTTGTATAAAAGTGTGAAATAAATTTTTTTCTAAGGAAGTGTTCATTCTAAATAACACAGCATTGTATTTGTGAAACGAACTCTAAAATTAGAAATGACAACCTGAATTACCTTTATTTTCATTTTATCAAACCAGACTACAATTACCATGTAAAGTGAGTACCAAATAGTTTTCAGTGTTTATGACTCAAAGTGTCCCATATAATCTCAGATCAGCCAAAGCTAGTGCAATACGATTAAGGATTTATTTTACTTTAACTTAATGCTCCTTCTCTATAAGTAAAAGGAAATGGCCTGGGAAATGGTTTATTAAAGAGGTCCAGCAATTGGGAGTTTTGTTTGCATTGCTTCATCTGCTTGAAAGACGTGTGTCTATGAAGGACAGGGTGTTGTTTAGCAGTGATACCATGATATGAAAAATAAAAGTTCTTGTGGCTGAGTTGCTTCTTTCTTTAAAATGCAGTCCAGCTATGACCTATGCATTAACACTGACCACCAGGACTGAGATGGTGGAATTAACCACAGAAAATAACCACAGAAGATTTACCAAAGGACTGCATTTGGATTTAATTAATTTAATGAAATTTGTCTAGCTAGATTATCACAAGATAATAAAAGAAAATGAAGCATAAATAGAGCACTGACACCGTATTTCCTGCCTTGGCCTGATACAAGTATAATATTATATTTAATACAATATAAAATAAATATAATAATATAACTATAATTATTTCTAAATTATAGTTATCCAGTATATGAAGTAGTCATAGCCCAAAGTATTTAATATTATATACTAAGTCTTGGCTTTCTTGGCTCTTTGGAGATTAGACAGGTGTTGCCATCCAAAGGAATGTGAGTGACGCTGTCTTTAAAATTATTTGGACCCGTGGCTGTAAACTGTTCTTACACCATATGAAGTCTTCCGGATAGACCCAGATTTTAACAAAATCCTAACAAATTTTACCTGGAAGGAAATCACTACAACAAAGTGTAGTCATCGAAACTATTGAGAGTCTTATCAGGATATGGCCAAAGCCCTTCATAGGATTTGGCTTCTTGGTTTGAAGGTCTTGGATTATTGTCTTGTGAGACATCCCAGTGAATTAGCCTAATACCACGTTTAGTTCTTCAGTTCTACCTAAGTGTGTTGTGTAGTATCTAGGGTCTTAAAAGCTTGCAGGCAGCCAGCCACTCAAGGTACAACAACAGTTCTCTGTTCACCTGAAGCAACAGAGGAAGGTGAGGAATAGGAAGAAGAAATACATGTGTAGTTAATTACTCCCATGAACAACTGCCTCCTTTGCCATGAGCCCAGAACTGGGTCATGCCATGCTACCATTACTGAACATTTTGATCAACGATCCTCTAAAAGAAACCTAATCTGAAGAGGGAAAATGTGGAAGAGAATTTCAAATTTTCATGGACTACAGACTTTCTGGAGCCATGGAGCCTAGATGAATCCCGGAAACTTATCTTTAAGCCAAAAATGTCCCCAGAAGTCTTTTTAAAACAAAATAACTTAGCTTCTTTAGGAAAGGCTGCCTTGAGCATTGTGATCAAACTGATAATAGCAAGATAAAAGAAAATTTAGGGGGTCAGTGAGTTTTGTTCATGGAAAAGGAGGGTGAGAATGGTGATGAATGTCATCAAGGTCATAGAATTGTACATGTAGCACTTGTTTAATTGGTATATGTTTGGTGTATATTCTCAAAAATAGCAAAAAAAAAACCCAAAATGTTAAGGTTTCAAAAGAATGCTCAGAATGCCCTGATGTTGCAAGGAACTGGTAACCAAAAATTGCCTTAAGTGCTAAGATTGGTTAAGATACCTTGAGTCCTAGAAAGAAGCATCCAGATTTCATTTTCCTGATTGGGAGGTGGGGGGTGGGGGGGGAGGGTGGGGTGGGCTGAAACTATGACATAAAGGAAGTAGGGCTGGATTATGGTGATGTTTCTGTGACTCCTGAGATTCCATTCTTTCCCTCAAAAAATGCATACAGGAATGGCTGTATGGGATAGTGGCAAAACTGCAATATGCTCAGATCCAGTTGGGTCCCAAAAGGAAACCACTGGAAACAGACATGTAAGTATTGGTTGTAAATGATCTACCATGCAGTCCTGGCTTGCGTCACATGCCCTGAGGATGTGGGGTAGGTGTTAGTGGAGAATGCCTTCAATTGTCCAGACCAGGGAAACAAGGATAAAATCAAGCCTTCTGCTCTAAATGAAAACATCTTAATGAGTCTCTAGTACACTGACACATAAAAGAACAATGTGGGAAGACACACTGATTTTTTTGTTCGAAAGGTAAAGAGTGAAGCGCTAGTTGTCTTGGGTTCCACATGATCAGGGCTAAGAAAGCAGGAATATGGAAGAGTTGTTTAATCAGCTTGGGTTGCATAAAGTAAATGCAATTCCAAAAGATAGGGGCCTGTCCCACTGCCTTGCATTGAGGAGAAGACAAAGTTCGTTCAAAGAGTTGGAAATGAACTTCAGAACAAGTTCAAAAGTGTTTTGCAAAGCTTGTGGACATCTGTTCTTCTAGTAGTTCTGGATTATGGTCAAATGGCAAGTGTTTTTGTTTTTCTCCTGTACCTTAAAACAGGTTCTGCTGGCTCTGAAAATTATCTGATAAGTTAGAGTGCTACCTAGGAGTGATTGAGGTCTGACCCACAAAGATGGTGTGAGAGCTATAGAGGGATTCAGATCTTCTAACTGGAGTCCTGGTGTGGTGCTGTGGGTTAATGGGCCAGACACTAAAGCCATTTAAAATGCAAGGCCGGCAGTTTAAGCTCACCAGCTACTCCTTGGAAACTGTATACAGGGTCGCTATGGGTCAGAATTGACTCAACAGTCACTTATCAACAACTGCAAAAAAAAAAACAAACAGCAAGGACAGTGCATGGGTGGGCTAGGTGCTACAAAGGCAAGACGAAACCAGTAAAGGTTGATTACATTGGAGTGGG